AGTTCTATTCACTTCTACCTGGAGATCTGAGGGATCGATCTCACTGAGCATGTTAAAAGTGTTTTATTGCAGACTCGCTCCCAGCAGAAAGATGAAGAAGAAACTGAGGGAAAATGTGAAATTCCTACAGAGCTGGTGGGAGAAAATGATACAACAGCTGAATTAATACCTATTAAGATTCCTCAAGAAAGTACATTTAAAAGGGAACAAAAAGCAGATCCCATGCTGGATCAATGATTTAAGAAAGTTGGCGAAGGTCCATTAATCCCCAAGAGTCCAGAAAGGTTCTTCATAGAAAAAGACCTTTTGTATAGGAAGATCTTAATAAATCCCAGGAGGGGAGGGGAAACTCTTCACAAGCAACTGATAATTCCTTTCAAATATCGAGGGGGGATAATGGAGAGGGGACACGCTGACACCTTTTCAGACCATTTACGCATCACGAAAACTAAACAAAGAATAGCTCAAAAAATTTACTGGCCTAAGATGGGGAAGCAGATGAAAGAATTTTGCCAGAGGTGTGACGTATGTCAGAGGCAAGGGAACAGCAATGACAAAACAAAAGCCAAGTTATGCCCTTTACCCATCAACCTAGAATTTGCTGCCAAGAATTTACAGAGGTAGCAAAAGAAACAAAAGGTCTGGTACGACAGGATTTCTATGAAAAGATTTCTATGAAAAATACATAGCCACAGGAGAGGAGCAAAGTTCTATATCAGAGACAGAAGAAGAAGAAAGATGGGTAAGAACATCTATTGACATGAAAGGGGAGGAATATAAGGAATTCCAAACAACCTATAAGACAATGCAGCGAGGGAAACAAAAGGAGGTCAACTATGAAACTGCAGGAAAGAGGAAAACTAGAGCAAGTAACCCAACATATAAATAAATATGGAAACAACAACAACATTTTCAGTGAATATAAATGGACTAAATTCCCCAAACAAAATATGAAAACAAAATTAAAGCTACAAAAAGAAAAACCAGATATAACTGTTCTTCAAGAAACCAATATTAAAGAGAAAAATTGTAATTTATTAGAGTGTCCTAAAATAGGTAATTTGTTTTCTGCATGTGATCCTAAACAAAAGAGGAGTCACTATTTATGTGAAAGCCTGTAAGGAAGCCAAATTTATCTACTCAGATAATGAGGGAAGAATACTAATGGTGGAAACAGAGGTCAACATCAAAAGAAATTGGTAGCTGCCATACACACCCCTAATGAAGCACAAGAAGCATTCTATAGGAGGCTTTATAATATCCTAAGTGAGAAGAATTATCAAAACATTTGTTTAATTGGAGATTTCAACGCTATAGTTGATCCAGTAAAGCACTATAAAAAGAATCATAAAGGGAAAAGTAAAAGAAAGTTACTATCCAAAATATTTTTTCAAATGACTGAAGAATTAAGATTGGAGGATACCTGGCGAGGACAGAACGGAGAAAAACAACAACATACATTCTACTTGAATCGGCATGAATCCTGGTCCAGAACTGACACGATATGGACAACAAATGATTTGAGGGTAGGAATAGACGAATTAAACATACAAACAAATTTATGGGCACATCATAATCCACTCAAAATCACATGGAAAGGAAAAGGAAAACAAAAAGAAAGGTGGACACTTAATACAATGATTCTGAAAGAACAAGAATTCATAGACAATGCAAAAAAGAAATGCAGTGTAACACAGAATTCCCTGCCACAGGTGATATGGGACGCAGCAAAGGCGGTATTCTATGGATTAGCAATATTATATACAATTAAAAGAAACAAAACAAAAAGACAGAAATATAATAACATGAAAGAAGAATATAAGAAACTGGAAGCAGAACGTCAACATAGCCCAAATAATAAAATGGTGAAAAAGGAAATGAATATGCTGAAACACAAATTGAATCTTATAGATACAGGAGAAATGGCACAACAAATAAAGGCTACAAAGCAATTTTTTTGAAAACACAAATAAAGCAGGACATTGGGTAGCATATAAACTGAAGAAACAGAAAGAAAAGAGACAAATAAATAGATTTAAAAAATTTTAAAGGTATATTACAAACTCAAAAGAGCCAAATACACAATATAATAATGGACTTCTATACTAATCTCTACAAAGCACAAGTAATAGATGAGAAGAAGATAAGAGATTACCTGGAAAGAACAAATCTTCCTAAACTATCAGAGGAAACTAAAGGATGATGAATGCTGAAATAACACTGATGGAAATTATGAAAAGTATAAACAAACCAAAAAATGAGAAAACCCCTGGACCAGATGGACCCCCGGCTGAATGCTATAAAACATTCCAAGAGGAAATTGTGGAACCATTAAAAATTTTTTGCAACCAAGCACTGAAAGAAGCGAAGATTCCAAAAACCTGGTTCGAAAATTTTTTCCACTAATACCCAAGAAAGGAGTGCAGCTTACGCAAATAGGGAAATATAGGCCAATTTCTCTTCTCAACGTAGAAATGCATCTTACGCAAATAGGGAACTATAGGCCAATTTCTCTTCTCAACGTAGAAGAGAAATTCCGCTATCTATTATGGTGGAAAGATTGAAAAAAACTAACACAATTTATATATGAAGTTCAAAACGGTCTCCTCCCAGAACGACAACTGAAGAATAATATAATAATAACAGATATCCTAGAATATTATGAAGCACATCAGGGGAAACAAATGGCTCTTCTATTCCCTAGATTCTCAAAAAGCCTTTGATAACTTAAATTGGGAATTTATGAAGACACAATTTGAAGTGATGGACTTTGGACAAAACTTTTTAAATACGATAGAAGCAATCTATACAAAACAAACAGCAAAAATAATTGTAAATAGAGAAGGAACTGCTAAAATTGAGATTGCTAAAGAAACACGACAAGGATGTCCACTCTCCCCATCGTTGTTTATTCTTTCATTGGAGATATTGAATAGAGAAGTTAGAAGGAATGAAGGAATACAAGGAACAAGGAAATTAATGAAATCTATAAACTTCAAGCTTTTGCAGACGATCTGGACTTTATTTTAGAAAACCCAATAGAAACAGCTCCAGTCTTACTCGAACAAATGAAGGAATATGGCAAAGTAGCTGGACTAGAAATTAATCAAGAGAAAACAAAATTCTTAACTAAAAATCTAACTCCAAAACAAAAGACCCAACTCATCTCAAACACAGAAATTCAAATAACAAAAAGTAAAGTATTTAGGAATTAATTTAACTGCTAGATGTTCCTCACTGAAAGAAGATAACTATACGAAACTCCTTCAGCAGATCAAACAAGAGTTGGAAAGATGGGAGAAATTACAACTATCATTTTTAGGTAAGATCGCAACGGTGAAAATGAACATCCTTCCAAAAGTAATCTTCCTCTTCCAGAACTTACTTACTTACTTTATTTTTTTATTTTTATTTTATTTTATTTATACCCCGCCTATCTGGTCATTTTGACCACTCTAGGCGGCTTACCAATTAAACTAGAGCAGAAATTCTTTGAGGAACTAAACACTTTAGTTGCAAAGTTCATATGGCAAAAGAAGAAGCCGAGAATCAAACGTAAACTATTACAAGACGCAAAAGAAAGGGGAGCATTTGGTTTGCCAAATTGGAATCTATATTACCAAGCAAGTGCCTTAACATGGATTTTAAAAAGGGGAAAGCTAAAAAACAAGAGAATATTATACTTAGAGAGACATGATTTGCAAGCAGGCTGGCATACCTTTCTATGGTAAGGAAGAACTAAAACTCAAAATATTTTGAAAGAAATATAATAAAGAATTCTTTGTTAAAAGTCTGAGAAAAAATTAAATGTTAAAAATGTGAAAACACCTAGATGGATCTCACCCATGAAAGCACTTACTCACCCAAACGTATTAAATTTTGGGGAAATAACGACATATAATGAGCTGCTAAATGAGGAGGGACTATTAAATACAAGAACTCAACTAGAGAGCCAAGGATTGACTTTTTCATGGTGCCCCAAATGCAATTACAATCAATCTACAATCAAGATTTTTTAAAAAAACACAAGGATTCTATAAAGAATATACAATATTTGAGAGAATATTACTCACTACAGAAAAACAACAAGTTCAAAAATTGTATACATTTTTATTGCAATGGGACACACAAGACGAAGAAGTTAAGGAGATAATGTTGAAATGGTCCAAAAACTTTGGATATAGTATAGAACTAGAAAAATGGCAACAAATATGGATAAAAAACTTTAAGCTAACATTAGCAACTTCTTATAAAGAAAAACAATATAAAATGTTCTATAGATGGCATCTCCCTCCATCCAGACTTGCAAAAATCTTTGTAAATATGTCAAACAAATGTTTGAAATGCAAAAATCAGGAAGGAACTTATTACCATGCATGGTGGACATGTGACATAGCAAGAAAATATTGGATCAAAGTTCGTATGTGGATTAAGCAAATGCCCAAGCAAGCTTTAGAATTTAAACCAGAAATTTTCTTGTTGCAAAGCTACTACCTAATATCACATGTATTGACAGCAGCTAGTATGGGCACAGGTCTGGAAGGAGAGAGATCCACCAAAGGATGACATGATCATTAAAAAATACTAGAACGAGCAGAAATGGATAGACTAACAAATTAAAAGGACAAGAAAAATCAAATTTCTACTTAAGTGTTTTATGACTGGTGGAAAGAAAGTGTTCCATAATAAATAGAAATGAAAATGAACAATATGGAGAAGATCTTGCTGGAAGAAGTATATCAATGAATAAGATTGCTTGTAGGCTAAGCTGTATAATATGTTTCTTATTTTATATATGATGCTTTCTTTGTATATATGTGATTTTTATGTTAGAAAATAAAAAAATTATTTAAAAAGTTTTGTTAATTTGTGACCTACATAATACCAAGAACACAAGCTTAAAATTCTTAATTTACTTCCTCCACCAAAAAAACTGAAGTAAACATGAGCCTATTGTATAGTCCACATGTAAGTACAGTAATTGATGACAGAACACTTACCAGTGCTTGCAGTTTAGGACAATGAATGGAAAGTTGTATCAATGTGTTATCTGTTATCTAGAAAGGGAAAAATAAATTTATATATAGATGTAAGAGCAATAAACAAAGCATATCTTCTGAGCCAGTTTCTGTAGTCTACAAGTTCCTTGTAGAAACAAAGAAAAAATAAATTATGCACGTCACTGGATTTGGCAGACAAGTCATGTACAAATGGATCTCACCAGAACACATTCTTCTAGGTCCATCTTCTCTAGTTCATGGCAATTCTAAATTCACAACAGAAATCCCATAATTAAAGACGAAAACTAACATCAGAGTTTAGAACTCTATTGTGATATTTTAATACCTTAGAAAAACTAGCTTGCACTGGAAATTAATTACTGGATCTCTCCCCCCTTCAATCCCAAAGACTAAGCCCTAAAAAAAAACCCCAGAAAGTGAATTCACTGCCTTCTAATATTATGGTCAGTGTGTCTGTGTTACTGGATTTGTATAAAATATGGCTTATTTAGCTCTCATATACAGCTGGCTAAAAGCAAAATCATAATCATTCTCTAATAACCATACCTCTAAATTAAATAGGTTTTCCTTATACATCCTTGTAATTACAGTTCTGTTCTAGTAAATATTATATTTTAAAAATAAATCAAGGTGGTGTATGGATAGGCCTGTGGTCACTGCTAAATATCACTAGCTTTAGCGAGGTTACTATGCTTTAGTCTAACCTGCATCAGAAATGTTCCTGTAATCATGTATCCTAATTGGAGCTACTAAGAGAACAGGCAAGGTACAAATATGAATAATATCAACCTTACCTACCCGGGCCAGAAGGCTAAAACCAGCATCAGTGAGATGAGAACATCTTGCAACCTCCAAAATTCTGGGGGAAAAGTTTTATGATTGAGAAACATCAGCAGGACATTCTTATCAGAAGCTTAATACATGGTTCTGTGCAACAGAACCAGGAACAGATCAACAGAAGCAGTATGTCCATTGACTTCTAATTTTATTTTGACATCCTGATTGACCATAGGGCAAAATCTATACTCTTGCAACATTACTAAAATCCTGTATTTATGGTAGATATAGTGCAACAACTGGAATCTCCTTTATTAGGATCATGGAAATGAAGCTGAAATCTGTGACAGCTGGGGTGAGGATGGGCAGGAGAAACTCTTGTCATTATTTGGGTTCAGCCTGACTTCTGTAACTGCATTAATCACTTCAATCCCCACCTCTTAAAATTCCAGGCTGCAGCAGACCCTGTGACTGGAAGACTGGTGAAATGCCTTTATCAATGTTTTATTGTTTTCAGACACTGAAGCATGATACCTGTCGTATTTTTTTTAGGGCTGAACCATCAAAACATACTTAAGAGTGTCCGGCTAAGAGTAAGGAGACCATGTTCAAATTATCATTCAGCAAAAACAAAAAACAAAAAACAAAAAAAACCCTGAAAGTGCACTTTTGGACAGTCACTTTGTCTCTCAAATCCAATGTTCCTTGCTGTGCTTGCATAAAGGAGTAAAAACCATGTATCTTGAGCTTCTAGGAGGAGGGGTGGAATATAAATGTAAGAGTAAGAGTAAACTGTACTATAGCCTATTACCTTCTTAACAATTCAGCCACTGCAGGACCTAAAACCTTGCCTTTTGAAAGTGACTGGTCCCTTGCAGCATACCAGTAGCCAGTACTGTAGTATTATACAGTGATATACCGCAGTGTGCCATCTGTAACAATTTGTAGTAACTTTTCACATGAAATTCCAGATACTGGCTCCAATCAGTAATTGAATATCCTATAAATCTAGCTTTCAGAAGGCTACTAGTGTAAACACATAAGAACCTTTTTGATCAGACTAAAATGTTAGACGGCATTCTTTTCACACTCAAACTAAGCAGCTGGCTGTGGGAAGCCAACAAACAGAACACGAGAAAAATCACTTCCTCCTGCTCATGTTGCCCCTAATGTACAAGGGGTGCTGCCCCAATAAAGCAGGTAACATATAGCCGCCATGACTATAGCATCATTAGGTTGGCTGATAATTCTTTTAAAGCCCCAAGCTTGCAGCCATCACTACATCTTGCTCTACTGAATTCCTCAGTATTATGCTCTGTTGCAAAGTATTTCCTTCCATATGCCCTAAATCTCCCACATTCAGCTTCCACAAATAACTCCAGGTTCAACTGTTGGGAGACTTTCTCCAGACTATCCATAAATGTCCATACTTCTGTAAAATTCTATAGCAGATAATTTTGCAGTCTAAATAATAATCATGTATTTTGACTTATGGCAACTGCTGTTGGGGTTTTCTAGGTGAAGAGGACTCAAAAATGGTTCACGTTTGCTTCTTCCGCGGGCATCCTGGCACTGTGTAGTTTGCCCAAGGCCAAACAGGCTGGCTCTTTTGGGATGCAGTGGAGAACTGAACTCTCACCTCTGGCTCCATAATCAGATATCTAACGCACTGAGCTATCTAGCCAGCTATGTCATCTAAGCTTATTCAATCCTGGCTCCCTCAAGTGAAAACCATGTAGCCTAAGCCTACTGTTATTTGACTTGGTTGTATTCAATTTTTAAAAGGCACAGTTACTTTTTTAAGGTACTAGTACACATTCCATTACTACACGAATAGCTAAACAGACTGAGATCTCAATTTCTGGAAAAGCTAGAAGATGCCTAGAGTGCAAGTTGATGCAACTGCCAATTGCCTGGAGAGCAGAAGAGACACTTCTAGCGTCAGCTGGCATGTCCCAATTGTTGATCTATCCCCTGAAGATGTTTAAAATTAGCATTTAAAAAACTGAACAAGCAGAAGGAAAAAAAGAGAACTGCAGCCATAACCATCAGAAAATAAAAGTTACAAAACAAAATATAAAATGCACCAACCTTTCTATATTCACCTTAAGGGAAATAATGCAGAAATACATTGCAAAGAAAAATTCACCTCCACAAACAGACCCTAAGAAGAAGTGGGAGGGGAACAATATCAGGAAGAGGGAGACGCACAACAAACAGAATTGCCAATAAGTATCATTTTTATTTTAAGTCTAGCAATTGCCTAAGATTATGTTGTCTGGAGAAAGGCATGGTGGGTGCTGTTTAACAAAGTCCACATGCTGGAGGGACTCTGGTGCAGGTGAGATCAGCAGTGCATCTCTGAATGCTCCCTCTGGAGTCCTTAGTGCCAGGAGTGGAAAGCAAAACTTGTGTGGTGTTTCATTTCTACATACAATTACTCAGTTCTATAGGGAAAAATCTTAAAAGGGAATATCTGCAAATATTAGTGCATAAATAATAATGTTTGCTTTCTATCCATTTCAGAGGCAAGAACAGTTCTTTTCTGACTTGTCTTCAATTATTCTGTATCAATAAGGAGTGAATGCTACCCTCATATACCACACAGTACAAGAAGTCTATGCCAGAAGTTGTTTCCTACTATTCAGCATGGTTCTTTGTCTACACTTCCCCCAGTGATCGACTCTCAGTTTTCCATCCTTCAATATTTTTGGAAAAAATAGTTATATCATTGTGAAGAAACAACTGTATAAACTCAACTTAAGTAGGTAAAGAAAGAAAGCAGAAAGATGAGGAAAGGCTCAGAAATGAACCACTATTTATATATTGTAGTCTAATTAGCAATTCTAAGATGTAATTATGCTAGTTTATGATAGCAAAAACAGGAAAGAGGTTTTTGTTACTTTATAGGCTGGGATTTTTACTGTAACATGAGCTTTTGTAGACTAGACAAAGTTATCACTAGATAACTTAAAATACACTTAATCAGCTCTTCAGGATCATTCTGCAATATGGAACTGCACATTCAGTTTGTTTCTGGGAATGAACATGGTTCACTATTACTTATCTAAAGATGTCTACTTACAAGTCACACCCGCTACAAGCCTATCCATACTTACCTTGATGTAAAAGAGCATAAACATGTACTAGACCGCACAGACAGCTGGATAATCTATTCAAGGAAACCACCATGTTGTCTGTTGCAGTCAAAACAAAAGAATAATGGGGCTCTTTTAAGATTAATAAATTTTACTTAACGTAAGCTTTCTTAGGGTCTGTCTGTGGAGATGCAACTGAAGAAGTGGGCTACAGTCCGTGAAAGCTTATGTCAAATAAAACTTGTTAGTCTTTAAGGTGCCGGAAGGTTCTTTAGCATCAATATAGATAACTAAGTTATCACTGAACAGTATTAAGCACTTACTATTCCTAAGAAAATTAATGCAACTTCAAGACAGATTAATACAACATCTGAGCACTACTCACTTCAGTCTTGGACAGTTCAAACCAAGTGCTATTAGAGAAGCATCTGTAAGGTTTGTACAACCAGAAACACAAAGCGACTGGAGTTGGGGACATCCTCTACAGATACCCGCTATACCGTCATCTGATATTTGCTGTAACAGAAAGTGTTGGAAAGTTTTGTCCTCTAGAGTTACCATTCTGCTTTTAAATGTTTTAAAGCCATTCCAAGGTATTTAATTGTTCTGTTTGCTTCACATGATATAGCCATACAGAGAGAAGTCCTTCAAACACATTTTAAAACCTTACGTTTTTTAAATGCCTTTGTATTCATAGTACCAAAAACTGTGACAACGAATGTCTCAGAATCTCTTAAAGTTAGAGCTTACTTATATTTTTATTCAGTCCTAAGTCAGAAGAATGGCTTTTCCCATGTCAGAGTCCTGTATTGTCCTGACTTTCATGAAAAATAATGTAAAAAAACAAAAATAACTGAAATAAATATTTGAGAAATACATATATTTTAGCAATGAACACTATGAAGTGTTTTAAAGTAAACAACTTGTGGGACACATTAGCAGACAGCTGAAATAATCTCATGTTTTGTTTACTTTCAGAATAAAGACACCTCTTGAAATTCCCTTAAGCAAAAATCACAAACTCTAGCTTTTGAATGTTTACTCAGAAACAAATCCCACTCTATTTTATAGCTCTGTGTAATTGTGCACAGGATTGCTACCTAAATGTGCCAAAAACAAATTCAACTGAAGAATGATCTAGCCTACAAACCTTTCCACAGCACACTCTTATCATGCACACCTGAAGTGTACTTGCAGCACTCATTTCAATACTGAACTGATTTGCAGCACAGGTATACTGTATGTGTCAAATTTGTCATTTTCCATACCAGGAGAACATAAGATTTCAAACTGAGAAACTACTTTGAAAAAAATACTGAGAAAAACCACTTACCATACATGACTGTAGGTTTAAAGTTAGAAGTTCAGGGCAGTGAGTTTCAATATGGTGAAGTGCTTCATCTAATAGCTGTATTAAAATAAATGTAGAAAATAATTCAATAGAGATCTAGACGCCTAGCAGAATAGCAGTGCACAATATTGACTGAAAAAAATGAATCATCACACCATATAACTACATTAAGTTTTTCAAGTATCCCAATATAAAACTACCCCTTATGGCTCAACGTGAGACCTAAGCAAGTTTGTACCTGTGTACATCCTCTCAGAAATAGTGCCTTTAATCCATTACATCCTTTTACCAGTGCTTCAATACCATCTTTTGTTATCTGATCACACCAGGAAAGATTCAAGAACTCCAGATTTTGGCACCCTTCACTGTAACAATTTAAAAAATGAACTTTTAATAGTTGTTACAATGTCAGACATGATTTAACGACTAAACAACAACGACTAATCCAAACAAAACTTATATTAACAAACACAATAGGTAACAGCCCCCAATAAGAAAAAATATGCTTGAAAAATACATCAGTATATATTCCTACACCAAGAACAGGCAGCATAAATCATTAACGAAATGTAATCACCATCCTTTTAAAGCCATTCAACAAACAAAAAATGGTTTTACCTTAGACTTTTCAAAGAGTTGTTTGTAACAGAAATACAAGATGTTAAATCCAAATGTTTCAGCCTGGGGCAGGATTTGCTAAGGCTGTTACAAGTACTGTAAAGAAAGAGAGGAACTAAAATGTATTCAACACTTTTTAAAAAATGCAGTTAATAACATCAAAAACTGTCCACCTACCTATCAGTAATTTTTGTGCATCCATTAAGGATCAAATGCTCAATGTTTCTACAGTTCTGTGCAAATGTTCTGCAAAAGGAATAAAATCAAGTTTTACATAACATCAAAACATGGCTGGCCTTGAAAGAGAATTTGCAGGTTTTAGACTGAGGCTTGCATTTTACTGTATAATTCACAGCTTATTATTCACATCCTTTCTTAATTAACCGTATTCATATGGAAGATAAAAGTCTAAGCAGAGCTTGTCTTCTGAAATTCCCCAGGTTATCCAAGTAACTTAATTATAACAACAGGTTCCAACATGTGTTAAATAACTTAAAGGCTGATCTGAGGATGACTTGTGGCCTTAAATGTACCTAATTTTTCCTAGGATCAGATTTTAAGAATTTGATTGCCAGCCTATTAGAGAATGGATCCACAGCTCCTTTATGGAAAGCTGCTGATGGTTTCTGCACCTTGGGACATCAGCAAACTGCTGCACTCCGGAAGACTAATGTAAACATTCTTCAACTAGGACCAGCAGTCCTATGAAAAGGGATGTAGACTGGTCTACCCTTTCTCCACTACTACCACCCAAAAACAAAACAAAACCTGACCAAAAAACATCAGTAGAAATTCTACACTAAAAACACATTGCCTATAAGAATACTCAATGCCAGAGGTGGGCAAATTGTGGTCCTCTAGAGTAATCAACTAGGACTCTGGAGACCAGGGTTTGAATTCTCAGCCACGGAAGCTCACTGGAGGAGAGGAACTGGTAAAATCACTCCTTAAATATCTCACATATGAATCTGATCAGACAACACAGTCATGGCCAAAAATATTGGCACCCTTGCAATTCTGTCTGAAAATGCAACTCTTCTCTCAGAAAATGGTTGCAGTTGCAAATGTTTTCGTATTCACATGTTCATTTCTTTGGTTTGCATTGGAACAACACACACACACAAAATAAGAGAAGAAAAGTCACATCTGATACAATCCCACACAGAAACCCAAAAATGCACTGGCCAAAATTATTGGCACCCTTAACTTAATATTTGCCAGCACCCCCTTTGAAAAAAAATAACTAATCAATTGCTTCATGTAACCATGAATGTGTTTCTTACACCTCTCTACTGGAATTTTGGACCACTCTTCATTTGCAAGCTGCTCCAGGGCCGTCAGATTTGAAGAATGCCTTCTCCAAACTGTTGTTTTGAGATCTCTCCACAGGAGTTCTATGGGATTCAGATCTGGACTCATTGCTGCCATTTCAGAACTCTCCAGTGCTTTGTTTGTAACCATTTCGGAGTGCTTTTTGAAGTATGTTTCAGGTCATTATTCTGCTGGAAGACCCATAACCTCTGGTGGAGATGCAGCTTTCTGACACTGGCCACCACATTGCGCCCCAAAATTCTTTGGTAATCATCAGATTTCATGACACTATTCACACGGTCAAGGCATCCAGTGCCAGAAGCAGCAAAGCTACCCCAAAACATCTTTGAACCTCCATCATGTTTGACTGTACGGACTGTGTCTGACAAAATTGCAAGGGTGTCAATATTTTTGGCCATGACTGTAACATGTTAGATTGCAACTCAGCAAAAGCCAGTGGGAGAGAGGATGGCAGCTATAGTCCAGCTACATCTAAAGAGCCACAAAACTGCTGATCCTTGCTCTAAATAATGCATCCTCAATGCCTAGATAGCTCTCATCAACACATCTCAGAGGCACATTCCCTTCTCTTGTATGATATCTCACACTAGACTCAGAACACAGTTGCAATGTCATTTTCATGAATTCAACTGCTCTCATTGTCCAAGTTGGACTAAATGTCAAGGAAAGTTAATGTTCCACTGAGATACATGTTGCCATTTCTCTCATGCCTGCATTTCTCTCAAGCTGAAGACAACAACAGAAACAAAAAGTGCTTTTTAAATAAACTCAAAAACACACACCAATGTGCTAATAGTTCAAAATATTACTCACTTCAAAGAGGTATCACCAACTCCAAGACATCCACGCAAACTCAGTTGTCTCAGGAACCCACCACATCTTTTGGAAATATTTTCTAACACCCGACCCTTAAATAGATGAAACAAATGTCAACTTCATATCTAAACAGGTGGATTTCAAAAGGAGGTCCATGCCAGGAAGCATACTGTCTAAAACATAGGAAAAAAGTTCCTTTCTGAAGACCTTATTCAAATTCTGTTCAAATAAATGCCATGAGATAAATCACAGAGGTTTGAAAGAGCTAAATGGATTGTCAGGAAAGTTTGCTACACAAACTTCTTTTGGAACAAACTCTGTGAGATTCTATCCCTACTTATGAATATAGACTTCAATACTGAAAATCCTTTGCTCAGGTATAAAGGAGAACCCAATAAGAGAAAACATACTTGCCAAATCAGAACCTATTGATGCCAGAAATTTTCCTCTATCAATACAGTTACATTTCATTCTAAGATTCTAATTCTAGAGTTTAGTTCTAGTATATTAAAATTTATTGCAATATTCTCGCTTTGGAATAAACTATTGAAAATGATGGTAGATAATCTCAGTTCACTAAAAGTTTGGAATACAACTCCTAACACGCTTAGCCACAAAACTAATAGTCAAGAACCCTGGGATATGTATTACAAAATATTTAGAGTATAGGATTGTCTACTCTTACCTTATAGTATGTAAATTAAAATTACTATGAGGAATTAGAAAAATCTATACTGAACTATGACCACGAAGCTAATGAGTGTATTCCAGTGGAAAGCCCCTGCTCTTATATATGAATTTTGAGATCTAACACTCATCTATTTATTTGGACTAATGTCTTTCCAATTCTCATTTCATGAAATGTAACTCTTGTCTTTTTGTCCAGAAAAACTGAAATGTTGTGGTGTCCGCCCAGGTTATGAATATTCATAGGCTACTTGCATAGACCAATGGGAGTGCAGAGTCACAAGATATAAGACTCAGCAGGAGGAGGAAGAGTTTAGATAGGAGGAGGAAGAGTTTAGATAGGGTTTTAAGATAGAGAGATTTGGCCTATGAGTGGGGGAGTGATGGTTGAGAGGGATAAAGGAGAATATTTGTTTAAGAATTAACATTGCTTGTTTTTGTCAACACCTGTATAAATAAACAATGTCTATTTGGTTCTTTTAAAATGACATATGGCCTGGACCTTGATTATTAATAATAGGTATTGTTGATGAAATCAACTGGTGGCAGCTGAGGGGCATGTAGCATGAGCTCCTTGTTTGGTGAAACAATTGGGCGACATGGAATCCTGCCAGTTGTGATCAAGTACATTTCCATTACTTTTATAACAAATCATGTTACATATCTATTGCAATGCTAATTAGAGATGCTAATTATGTCTACTGCACAGGTGGACATAACAAGGGTCCAGCCCCCTGGGGCGGGACTGTCCACTCACCTTCTGCTGTTGATGCGGGCTCCGCGCTCCCTTCCTATCGCTCCAGAGCTCGCGGTTTGCAAGCTGCTCTTCGAACTGGCATCAAGGCTCATCCTCCCACCTCCTGCCAGGAGTGGCTCACAGATCATGAGATTCAAATCCAAGTGCACCCACATCAATCTTTCAGAACTGTAATTTCACACTGTATGTACAGTGTATAACAAAAATGAGAACCGTAATAAAATACTAACCTCTACATCTGTCTGGAAGTTAAAAAGGTCTATTCTTTGCCAGTTACTTCCATCCAAGGCCAAGACATTCCAAAACTAAAATACATAAAACACACAAACAATTATATGCATTACAACTTATATGTTGTACAAAAATCATAATAATTACCTTTCAGTAGTTTATTTATTTATTTATATTCCACGTTTCCCCTCATAAAGGATCTAAGGAGATTCACAACAATTACAACTATACAATAAAGGGAGGTTACTTACCTGTAACCATGGTTCTTCAAGTAGTTCTCTGTGAATTCACACAAAAAGGGTTAATTCAGCACCAGCGAAGGTTCTCTTGGAACATTCTCAAGCTTTAAGAGAAAAGTAACAAAGTTTAAGGCTGCCTATACTGCGCATGCTCCGCCCGTCCAAACCTCAGTTCCGTTTATCCACCACAAGTACCTGAGCATGAGCCAGATAAAACCAGTGATGGACAGTGGGGAGGTCGGGCGAGATTGTGTGAATTCACAGAGAACCACTTGAAGAACCATGGTTATAGATAAGTAACCTCTCTTTCTTCAGTGGTCTCTGTGAATGCACACAAAAAGGGGTGACTAGCACACTCACTTACCAGATGGTGGGCTGTCACTGAAGGACGGACGTCAACACTGCTCTCCCAAAACTTGTCTCCTTCTTAGCCCGCAGGTCTAGCCTGTAATGGGTGATGAACATAGAGGCATTAGACCAAGTGGCTGTCCTGCAGATATCAGGCACATCAACACCACGAAGTAGGGCTGTAGAGGAGGCCATGGCTCTGGTGGAATGAGCCTGAAGACCCTCAGGTGAAGTTTTGTGTTGAAGCTCATACATCAACAGGGTAGTGGAAACAAGCCATCTGGAGAGCGTTGAAGACGTGGCAGGAAGCCCCTTCTTTCCAAAGTAGCAGAGGAACAGTCTATTAGAGGACCTGAAGTCCTTGGTCCTAGAAACATAAAAAGCAAGGGCCCGCCTAACATTCAGGGTGTGGAGCATGTGCTCCGTGTCATTTGTAGGTTCAGAAAAAAGTGTAGGTAGTAGTAATGGCTGGTTGAGATGAAAGTCAGAAACAACTTTTGGAAGAAAGGAAACATCAGGGTGTAACACAACCTTGTCCTTGAAAAACTGTAGGAAAGGTTGATCTGACCTAAGGGCAGCGAGTTCACTTACCCTTCTGGCAGAAGTGATAGCTACTAGAAACAATGACTTCAAAGACCATTTTGAGGTCACATGTAGCCATTGGTTCAAAGGGTGGCCGGGTAAGAACATTCAACACCAACTGAAGGGACCACTGAGGAACTGGTGGCCGAACTGGAAGCCTCAAATTAGTAAGTCCTTTGAGGAAGGCTTTAACGGTGGGGTGGGAGAACCAACGTGTTGCAGCTGAATCTTTAGGCTGAAAGGAAACGATGGCAGCAAGGTAAACTCTTATGGTGGAAACAGACAAACTGAAGTCGAACAGGTACCGTAAGTATTGTAGCAGAGTAGACAGTGACACAGGGGATGGAGTAAGACCCCTGGCTTCAGTAAACTTCAAGAAACTCTTCCACTTGTAGCTGTACAATAAGGAGGTGGATGGTTTCTTTGCTCTATCTAGTACCTCCTTGATCTCGGGGAGATCTTCCATGCCGTTAGATGTAGAGTCTCCACATCTGGATGGTAAATCCGGCCCGCATCCCGTGTCAGCAGACTGGGTGACACTGGTAGTCTCACAAATTCTGACATCTTCATGAGCGTCGGAAACCAAGGCTGTCGAGGCCAAAAAGGTGCTACGAAGATTGCCTCTGCCTTGCTGTGGTGAAGGTTTATGAGAGATCTCTGCACCAAAGGAAGAGGAGGAGCTGAGATGGTTGAAGCAACGAGACCTAGCAGGTGTAGAACATGCTTCGCCGTCACCCGAGCTTTGGGCCAAAACTTCCTGAGAGCCCTCTGGATTTTCAGGATACGCTCTGCAGGTAAGAAAATCTGACTTCTGATGGCATCCAACTTGGCCCCGATGTAATGCACAATCTTAGATGGCTTGAGATGTCACTTCTCTTTGTTGACAGTGAGACCCAGACAGGGAAACAGTCACAGGATGAACTTTGTGTCTTTCAAGGCTTGACTTCTGGATGAGGAAACCACCAGCCAGTTGTCTATGTAGGGATAGACGTGGATTCGCTGGAGGCGCAGGTAAGCTACCACTGGTGCCATGACCTTTGTAAATGTCCTTGGTGCTGTTGAAAGGCCGAATGGGAGGGCCAGAAACTGGTAAATGTTGCCCTGGAATATGAAACGAAGATATTTTCTGTGATGTGAATGGATAGTCACATGAAAGTATGCATCTTTTAGATCCACCACCACAAACCAGTTGTTCTTCCTCAAGAGGTGCATTATGGACTCTAACATCACCATCCTGAAGCGACGTGGATGGAGGTAAGTATTTAAAGTCCTTAAGTCGAGGATGGGTCTTATTCCTCAATCTTTCTTTGGCACAGCAAAGTACCGGGAGTAGAACCCAGTTTTAAGTCTCTTTGTAGAACTAACTGAATAGCATTTTTGCCAGAAGTGACAGAACCTCCTCCTCTAGTGCGGGATCGAAGGGTATATTTTATATATCCTAGAGGATATTCTATAAATTCCAGCTGGTAGCTGAATTGGATGATTTTTAGTGCCCAAGGGTTGTTTGTGATGGCAAGCCAGTTTGGCAGGAATGGATGAAGTCTTGTGGTGATGGGAGTTCCGACTGTTGTGATGGCAGTCAAAGCTACTGTTTGGATTTTTTAGCAGGTGGCTTGTAGGAGTGCCTACGCTGAGACTGCTGAGGACGGTAGCTGGGAGCAGAAGACGACGCTTGCGAAGATCTATTCTGAGGTAAGTTCTTAAATGGCCTGTATTGCTGGGAGGACTGAGAATATTGGGAATATGACTTCCTCCATTGAAACTTGTTGAATCTAGGCTGAGGCTGAATAGAATAGGATTTTGCCGTTTTCTTGGCCTTATGCAACTCCTCAAGATGACCGTCTGTTTTTTCATTAAACAGGCCAGTAGCATCAAAGGGGAGATTCTCCACCTTTGTCTTGACATCATTCAAAATGTTAGCTGCTCTTAACCAGGCATGTCTGCCTAAGGTGACTGCAGACATAAGAACTCTGGAGGCAGCCTCTGCTGCATGTCTAGTTGATAATCTTTGGTGTCTAGACACTGTTTGGGCTTCGTCATAAAAATTTAAGAATCCCTGGCAAACATCCTCAGGGATCATCTTGATGCCAGGTAACATCTTAAGCCCAAGTTGCTTTTGGTAAGCTCCAAGCGCCGTCTGGTAGTTGATGATTCGTGAGAAAGGACATCAAGGAATAAATTTTTCGTCCGATGATTTCCAATTTCTCTCCCTCCTTATTCGTAGGGATAACATGATATTTCCCTGTAGGTTTGGTACAGCTGGTTTCCACTATCAGCGAATTAGGTATGGGATGCCTGAGAAGGAACTTAGTCTCAGTCCCATGAACACGATAGAGATTTTCTGTGCGGCGGGAAATGGGATCGGAAGTAGAGGGCTGTTCCCAAAACTCTTTAATGATGTCCATTATAGCTGGAATGAAAGTCAGACTTGGTGGGGGAGACCTCTCCTGATTGATGTCTCTGAAGATAAGGTCCTCTGCAGGAGGTGCAGGCTGGTATACTTCCAATTTAAGGGTTTTAGCCAGCCTAGACAGCATTTGAGAATAGGAAGAAAAATCTTCTGAAGGGGAGGATGCATGAGGGTCCGCCATGTCAGAACCCACGACTTCCCCCTCCGGTAATTTGCCTTGGCAGGGTTGAGTTGGTATCTCAGGCTCTGAGTCCAAAGTGGCTACTGAAGAAACTTCCTCAGGGTCCGAAGAGAAAACATTGTGTGCTCTCTTTCGATGATGTATTTCGATGTCAAGCGATGAGGATTGTGTCTGAAGAGAAGATAGAGGAACAGTCGATGTCGAAGGGAGAGGCACCGAGGGAGCCTGTTCTTTACTCTTTGGAGCCTCAGTGTCGAGTCGTTCACAACGTTGATGACGACGGGGTTGTGGAGATGTTGCCGAGGAAGATGAAACATAAACATATTTCACTTTCCTGTGCCTTTGAAACCGATCGGCCAAGGTCGACGAATTATCAGAAGAAGTATAGTCTCTTCGATGTTGAACCTGTCTGTCTTCTGAGTTATACGAATCCAAAGACCTGTCTCGATGTCGATGTCGAGAAGAGTGCGGGAGCACAACTACCTTCCTGCACAGAGACCGACGTCAATCGGGCGAAGAGTGTTTAGCTTTAGAGGAGCGCTTTCGACATGGCGATCTCGGCCTCAAGGGCACTGACGAGGCCGAAGGAGCCAGTGATCCCCGCCCAACAAACAGTGGGCTATGTGGGGCAGAAGTCAAGCCTGCAGTTGCTCCAGCAAGCTGACTCAGTGTCGGTGAAGAGACGCTAGCTGGAGGAATTGGCTTGATCTGTCGAGGAGGAAGCGAGGGGGCTACCTCCAACATCAATTCTGGATGAATCCTCCAAAATGGGAGATGGCAAGGACACAGAAACAGGCGGGAGCTGAATCTGGGTGTCCTTAGATTTAGTAGAAGCCTTTCCCTTTGTTTGTTTTGCAGGTTTTGTCAAAGAGGCAGAAAAAGTTTTCGATGTCGACGAAGACTTTTTTGTTGGAGCAGACTTCTTGGCCGGTTTATCAGAAGCCTTCGGTACTGCAGGATGAGGGGACGCATTGGCCTCAGAGCGAGGGGTAGCTAACGGTGAAGAAACCTCCATCTCAGATGGTTTAGTAGTGTCCCACAGATGGTATTTCAGACGTTGTTGCCTGGCTTTCAAAGCCGCTATAACAAAAGCTTTACAGTGTCTTCAAGATTGTGTAAGGTGAGACTCCCCTAGACAGAAAAGGCAACGATCATGCCCGTAGTGAAAGGGGAGCTTTCTTGAACAGACAACACAGTGGCTAAACGGGCCTGAGGGGGACATAAGATAACTTTAGAATAGTCTTACTGAAGCCGTTACCGAGGGAAAAAAGGCGGGAAGTCCAGAGCAGCCAAGTTAAAAGAGAAATCCGTAAG